CAATAAAGGGCAAAGGTCAAGGGGAACTGCAGCCCAAACTCTGTGCGAAATGTGCTCATTAAGACATCCAATCAGAGCGCTCCTTCCCACCTATCCCATTATTCATCAGACAGCTGACTGTTTCAAATGCCTGGGTATGGGCTGTTATTACTTTTCTTCTTCATGTAAAAAGGCGAGCTGGTATATAAATCGTTGCTTAGTCATCTGGAACATAATGTGGCCCTTCCCCACCTCCCTCTCTCCTTGCTTCCAACCCCCTCCCATCCTGCCTGCCGGCTTCACAGGTCTGAAACAACGGCCCTGAGAATCCCTTCAATAATAAATGGAATTGCCTTCTGCCTATAGGTTGCCTGAACTCATACAAAAGCAGGCGTGGAAGGGGGATGGGGCAGTGGGAGGCAATGCAACTATTGATACTTTATTATAAAGAAGTAGCAGTGCTTTTCAATTGTCCCTTTTTAAAGAAACATGCTGTTTTTGCTTTTTTTTTTTTTTTAAGTGGGAGCAAAGATACTATTGTTGATCTGAATCCAGCCCCCAAAAGAAGAAGTTCATAAGTGGCTTTTAGAGGTTCTAGGGACCATTAAAGTCCTTTAGGGTTGAAATGTTTTACATCAAATTTCAATGTAGAAATAATACTTTTTCTTTATCCTTACAAAAGAGGAAAATGAGATGAACTTCAAGTGGAAAATGTTCTGCCAGAAAAATGCCCTTACTTTTTTTTTTCTATGTTCCTAGTCTCAATTCAATAAATCTTTGAATGAATGAAATGGGATAGGCTCTTAATACATAATACAAATTAATCATATCAATCATCAGGCTCTTCTGTAAATATCTCAATCACCATTCTACTTAGCACACAAAAAAAATAATAATAATCCTAGATTCTCACTCACCAGCAAAGTATAACCCCCCTTGAGGCTAATGTTGATTATGTCCTATTCGAAGCTCGGTCACCATTACAGAGCATAGTGCCAGACCCAGCGCAGACACTGGGGAAGGAGTCAACAGGAAGACTGTCCATCAGATGATCTATTTTTTCCATCCTTAGCCACACCAAAGTATTTTATCAAAAAGGATGCCATAGTTAGGAGCTTGGGCTCTGGAGTCAGACTGCATGGGTTCAATTCCTAACTCTACCACCAACCAGTATGTGATTTGGGGGAAGTTTCCTAGCCTCTCTGAACTTCCGTGACTTCCTTTATAAAATGAGAGATGGAAATACACTGTCAGCCCTTAATATATGTTATTTTATTATTTTAGTGCTATCATGTATTCATCTCTCTTGACTTTGAGCCACAAAGGGAGAAGTGCCAAATGCAAAATGTGGTCAGTCATAGCTAAAGCCGCTTATGAGTTGTAGAGTGGCTGCCTTCTGGGGAAGTAGTGCAAAAATACACATGGTTTGCTTGGTGCTCTCCCGCTCCAAACCACACGCTTCCTACAGTAAACCCTAATTATGGTCGTTAGTGCAGCCGCACACAGTAGGACATAAAAGACACATGAAAGAGTCACGTATCTGCTGAGGTGTACCTCAGCTTACAAGACTCTGCTTGGGGGTCCTGAACACATCCTGTCCTAAAGCAGGCATAAAGCCAAGAGATGGAGATTCTAGGGCTAACTCTGATAGTTACTCACTCTCCAATATTTCTGAGCTGTACTTTTATCTCTTTTGAAATAGGAAAATAGCAAATAATTGACAGGGATAAAATAAGGACTTAATCTCATACCTTTGGAAGTACTTTGAGGAAGTTAAAGAGTAGACAAAATCAATGTGGTAGCAACAGCAGCAGAACCCTCTACCGAATGCATTTGTTAGACCTTCCTTTTCAATGCCAATTTAAAGGCACTTCACTATTAAAGTGAAGGGAGCCACAAGTGTTAATAGTAAATAAAAGTAGATGTCATAAGGAAGAGTTGCATAATAAATACTTTGAGTTGGGGAAAAGATTTGTTATGTAAATCACGAACAAACATTAAATCTCTGAAGAAAAATACTATCTTTGGTATTAATTACTTACCTGACATACACTCCCTTTAGAATGCCTAAGATGGAATTTTGTACTTTATTTTTTTATGCTTAGGTAAAAATTTTACTAAAACTATTCCATCAGTCACAACAGCCATTATTCTGGCAAATTATCAAAGCACTCAATATCCCCCAAATTGCTGAAACTCTAACTAGAAATTGTTATTGCATTTTGAAATCTGTCAGAACATTGTGAATTTTCTGGATGTCTTATTTTATTTTATTTACTTTGAAAGTCCAAAAGAACAGGACTTGGTTGAGATACACAGCCTATTATATGCCTACACTGTGTAGCAGATAAGGTTGTTTAACAGAGGACCAAAGCTTAGGGGATTTTTTTTTTTTTTTTTTTTTTTTGTACCACAGGTGCCATAATGAAGTGGTGAAAATTGAAAAGGAATGAGGAAAAAAGAAATGCAGTACAAATAATACAGTAGAGAAAGTTTTAAAATATGTATTACTCCTGTCTGTGGGGGAAACACCTCTTTGGATATGTTCTTGACAGACTGAGTTATTTCTGTCTATTGGGTATATATAAAGACATATTTATGGATTTATAAATCTTTTGAAGAGGGCTGTTATTTACCCAGTTGACTAAAATGGACTCAAACTGTGTAAATAACTATTTAGGACATGCACTACGGGCCAAATGCTGGCACGGCTTACACATCCATGTCTGCCAGAAAAGGCAGACAGGGAAAACATGGAAAGCCACTGTGCACAGTTAATCCGAAGGCTGCACAAAGACCCAGCTCCACAGGTCTCAGGGATGAAAAAAAGATTTAGAAGGGTCACGGTTGGCATAAAAATGTACGGAAGTTGTTGCAGCAACACTTCTAGGCACCATTCTGCATTTAGCCAGGAATAAATCACACTGCCAAAGAGAACCCACAGGGAAGGAAGGGCAGGTAAGACTAAAGATGTGACTCCTACCACCTGTGTTATCAAGCTGATCTGACACTGCACTGAAAACTCAACAAATCCTTCAACTCACCCATACGTTATTTCTCTCATCTGTCAAATGGGCTAGACGTATTTTATCTGCCATCCAGATTGTTTTAGAAAGTTTCAACTGAGATCATCCCAATGAAATAATTTATGTGAAAATGCTTTTTTTAAAAAAAAAAAACAACAACTAGGTGGTAGTCTTTTATGGAAGAAATATCAAGAGAAACGAAGTAAGTAGAAAACTCTAGTACTGTCAAGGGTCTATAGCTCTTAGTTACAGTCAAATTCATTATTAAATTGGCCTTTAGAGAGCATTTGTTGAAGGGAAAAGAATCATGCAAACCTTAATACCTTGTTATGAACCATCAGAAGGGAAGAACTGGGATGGAGCATTTGCCCTCTGAAAATCCTTTTATCAGATTAGGTTTAAGGAAACCTATATAACTTTAAATTAAAGTACATTTTAGCAGTTCACAAATAGTTCGAAGTAGCAGCTCAACTACTTTGAACTTCAGCTCTGCCTGTTGGTGGATGATATATTTTTTGAAAACCCAGAAATGAAAAAGAAAAAGAAACAAACAAACAAAACTCTAGGCTATGACCTCATGTAGCAATTTTGGAGTACAGGAAAAAGAATTGAGATTCCATTTACACCTTTTTGAAGGCTCATGGTGTAAGCTGAATTCTGAAAGCAGGGCTTCCTATTGGAAGTACTGACATCACCTTAACTACAGCACTGTGAGCAGTGACACCATAACACAGACATATACACACCTGAAAGAAAAAAGGCCCTGTGGATTTATACTGCATATCATTTTCCAGTAAAAGTCAGAGGTCAGAGGTTAGCCTCTTTCTGCCTCGGCTCTGAACCAGTTTACTATTCCGGGTTCCATTTTTACTAGACTTATACTTGTGATTAAGTCAGCAACTTTTCTTTGAACAATAAAATGTCTCAAATGCTTAAAATTCTATGTGTAGAAGTTATTTCCAGTCCAAAAGGCATACATGTGCTTAAAAAAAATTAACTTTCCTGTTTTTGTTTTCAAATTAATCATGTTAAATTCACTGTGGACTGCAATTCTAATTGGCAGAACTCATTTACGTTAGAAAACAAAATTCTTTTGTCGTCTAACAGCACTCCAATGAAACATGATCATCAAACTAGATTTTAAAGTATGTACCTACTTTGGGCTCAGAGTCAACTTCAATAAAACCGTCTTTTTATATTCAGATAGAGAATACCCTTTAAAACTTTGGTTGCATTAACTGAACACAAAATCTGCTGTAATGGGTCTCATCAAAAGCAGTGCAAGACATCTGACTACTCAATCACCTTTTTTTGCTGAAGATTAACTTCATGTTTAAAATTTATTTCCTACCAGTCATAGTCAGACATGTACATCCATGGACACCCAAATACACACATAGGTATGTGCATTCAAAGAACAAGACAAATCGAATTGATCTGTTTTCTTTCCATTTCTTCCTAATTCCCTTTAGTCTGACTTTGCAATGAAGTCAAGCACTTAAGGAATCAGATAAGTAAATTCAGAAAAATGACTTCGACCCAGTGTAGAGGGACAGCTAACATGGGTTTCTGAAAAGCCCACTGCCTTCTAAGCATCGTGAGACATCGCTAACTTGGAGTCCTAGTGGGTTCCTTCATGAGCTCTCAAAAAGCTTCTAAGGGCCAGTAATAATAATACTTTTTATTGATATAGTAGGGTATTAGTAACATACTACTTATGCACATTCCAACTTCTAATCCACTGCTCTAATCTCACCCTCAGTCAATTCACTAACCCTGTTTTACGGAGGTGGCCAGGTGACAGGCAGCTAGGCAGTTGGAATGGCATAGAAGAAGAAAGGGTCGAGGGATAAAATAAGATGAGCTGATTCTCCTATGGGGTTTACACTGTAGGAAAAAAGCTGTATAAATAGTCACTAACTAGACAATTCTGATTTTTCAACCCTTAAAAATGAAACAAATAGCAAAAGAGAATAATGAGAACACCTCTCCTAC